TTATCAATGAATACATTGATCTAGGACGTAAATACATTGTGTCTAACTTTCGTTATAAAAAGAAAAGAAAAAGTTGCGTGTTAACTGCCACATCACGCAGTAATACACGCCGAAGTAATTTTTACAAAGCTTGGAGTAATTTCTAATGCAAGTGCTTCTTGCAGTTTGTCAATTAATGACGTTCAATATAAGGAGATTAAGAGATCAATTATAACGCCTAAGGGACGTTCTACATGTTCTTTACTATTTTTTAAGTTGAGAATACTCAATGAATGGGTAATATCCCTAAATTCAATACTACTCTATTTTTGTGTACTATTCTTAATACGCCAAACAATATATTTACCGTAATATGTTATTATAAATTATAATTAAAATATAGATATCTATGTCATATATATTTTTGAATAGTTATCTTAATTTTTAGCTTAAAACATTTTCTACTTTCAATAGCCTACAAGGAATAATTGTATATTGTAGTGAATAAAAATATATTACCAGATTATTTATCGGTGTCTAAATAACAAGAAAGGTCACGATTTTATTTTTAAGGTTATACAGGCTGAGTGCTATAGATTATTTTTTGATAGGTAACTCTTTATGGACTTACCTGATACTAATGTGATGCATATTCAATCAACTCGATTATTATTATTTCATAGAATTTCTGTCCTAAGGCAATAGTTTTAGCTACGTTATTGTAATTTATAGATTTCAACAGAGTTACAAATTCCTAAATGGATGCATTTTAGCAGTAAAATACAGACAGAATGAACACCTCTATGTGTTTGGTTGGTGGGTAGAGTCATTAAGACAGAATTCAATAAGGCATCTTCATAGACCTATAAAAAATGCTTGTTAATTTCATTATTTCCTGTACATTTTATTCATAAATTAGTTAATATTCATATTCACATCTTCTAAGGTGGAGTATGTTTAAAACCTGTTTTGTACATAAATATTTAAAAACATTATAAAAAACAATTGAAATATATTCACATAAGTCAACAGACAACAGTCTTTGATTTCATACATAATAATGTATAATATATAAAAGAACCGGCAAATACAAACATTGAGTATGATGGGTATATTTTGAATTACAGTATTAATAGGTAGATATGTTAATGCTTATTTATATAGCTTGAAAATAATGAGTAGAATGTTCTGTTATGCAAAAGTAATTCAGTATATATTATTGGCCCCTTTACAGTAGTAGGTACTAGGAAAGAACTGATTTTGCATTATCAACTAAGTATTTAGTAACTTCGACGAATGCATAAGGATTCTAGAAATGTATGCAAATTGCATGTCGTGCAGTGTACTATTCAGAATGTTTACAAATAGAAAACACACACTTAAAACACACAAACAACATGATCAACCTCATTAAAAAAAATACGAACAATCCAAAAATGTCAAATCTACCATACGCCTCTAATACAAAATTTTAAATTAAAAATACAATTGTTTACTACAATAAGAAAATACAAGTAGGCGCCGTTATTAAGAGTTTAATTAGTTAATTATTGGTTCCGGTTTTATTTTATCAATTCAATTGTATATTTTTCATTATTTTACTTAGCTCATTCTGATAATACATTTTTAAATTAAACAAAGAGTGACAAACATAATATTAGTTGCTATAAGTTGCCTATTTATGTTTCTTATAATATGTCTGTCAATTAGGTACACAAAGGAAAACAGTGTCTTTCTTTGTGTAATAAATTTTGTTTATACATATATGATATTTCTATTATTTTTAAGTACTCCATTAACAATATACTTTTTTAAGGAATAATCTCTTACTAATAGCACATTTAATATTTATTAATTTTTAACATAAAGCAGGCATGTATTAAAATCTTGATTTTGACGTAACATTATATGTATAGGAAAACCCGTATAGAATTACCAGAAACTTGATATTGAAACAACTATGTACACTCGTGATTAGAAGGACATACAGGTATATCTGTTCTCGTATATTGCTCCATACGGGTAGCTATGATGTACGTAAGAACAAACCATTTTCAACTTACTTAATATGGAACTAATATCACAAATACAAAAGTGCATCTATATATCTATCATCCTGTTAGTTATCTTTTTACGATTCAATTATTATAATCAATTTGACGTAAGGATAGATTATATCATGATAACGGACATAGGCTACCTTTTATATCAAATAACAGACGATGCCGCGGGTAAAAGCTAGTCTTATAAACCACAATATGTAACCTAAACAATATTAAATTTTCCTTCCCTAAAATCAGAAAACAAATCATCGAAATTGTAAAACCTGTTTACAAGAATTGAAAACACGTAATAAATAGTCAAACCTACATATCATAAATAAGTATATGTAGTTGGTGGTTCTATATTTATGTACAAAAATATAAGTGTCTACATTATAATAAAAAATATAAATAAACGAATTATATAAATTCATAAATTTGTATTAAAGTTTAATATGGCGACGTCAATTTCAGATATAAATTGTGTCAGATCATTGGCACTTGCGCATTTATGTACCAGATACTGCAATGAATCATAGCTTGTATTTCGTCATCTAAACGTTTGGTATTTAGTTCAAAGCCCACAGTCACTGTCATATGAAATCCATTGTTGTTTGTATACAATGATCTCAACTTCAGTAGGTTTAAATACTTCCTGTAATATCCATCATTTTGTAAAAATAACAAAATAACTGAAGAAACGGAACTTTAATATAAGAAAAGTTTTTATTAAATCAAAAGACAGAAATATTCTCCTTTCTTTTATTTTAATGTTGAAATGTTATAAGTAATTCCATTGTTTGTCTTATCCTATCCATTGACTTTAGATTCAATTTCATTTCATCACGGCAACAACCCGGGGTATGGGATTAAAGCCTGATAGGCAGCTAGACACTTAAAGCTAGGGAGAATTACAATTAGAAGATGTTATATATCTACATACATATTTATAACTTAGCCTAACTTAAGAACTAGTGCCATAAATAGGCATTTTATTTTCTTTTTTGCTTTAAATTTTGTTTGTTTGTTTTTTTTTTTTTAACTTATTCTGAACTTTCATACTGTATATGCTAATATTATAAATGAGAAAGTGTGTAGCCTGTCTGTTTGTTACCTTTCCAACTAACGACTGAACGGATCTTATATTTTATATATTGACGTGAAGATATGTAGTTTGTATGAGGGCGCACATAAGTTACATTTCATTTTAAAAAAACTTACTATACTGCAACTGCCAGCCAGTATTTAATAAAAATAAGTCGTCAAAATTGGTCCGCTCTAACTTAAAACTCAACCATAGGCAATGAGTAGGTATTATACTTATATTGATATTTGTGATATCCCATAGTACTTATTGTTTTAATCTAGACCATTACCTTGTTTTCCATTCCCAGTAATAACTATAAAAAATGAAATCTCATATTTTGCTTTCCTATAACCAGAAATAATGATGTCACAGTCAATCACATTAAATATGTCAATAACGTAATGAACCGATAATGCCTATACCTATTGAAGCACCTATTACAAAAATATAACCTTTAGCGAATCCATTATAGCCGGAAATATAATAGTGATAACATTGTATGTTTGTGTGGACATGACGTCATTTACTATTAACGGATTTCTACGAGTATGACGGAGGTGACAGACACGATAACGTGGTAGTCGTTAAAACGGTCTTGTTATCACACTAACACCGTTACTTTCATTATTACGAAACTGTTATATATTTACACGTATATATTATATTCGAAAGCAAATCAGATTAACACCTACTTCAGTGTTGGTATGGTAACATAGCATATTCTAGGGTTATAGGCATATTAAATGTTAAGTTAAGTTAAGTAACTTAAAACAAAAGAGGCTTTATTTTTTTCTTTATATAATCACAGATCAAATAATATGACTTATACCTATAGGTATTTAAACTACATATATATTTATAATATTTTGTCCTTTCTATCAAATTATAGCCAAAACTAAACGATAAGTAACTAAAATTAAATTTACAAGTTTAGATTACGGAAATTATAATAGGAAGATCTATGTATGGCGTAGACATTTGCTAATGGTTTTTAAACATTTCACACTACGCATTGCCAAGCAATGGACGTCTTCCAGGCTGCGATGATGATGATGTTGATGATTGCCAAGCCTCGAGGAATAGTTAGACTGTTGACCATAGATACCTATGTATTCCTTTTTGTCTTAGTGCAAATAAATAAAATTATATTAAACTCGTAATTAATTCCAAAGTTTTAATAGGTAATTGCATAGGCAGTAGCTGACTTAAAAATACGAGGCTGATAATTTCTCAGTGTTATTAGGATATCGTCTTATGCTGTTACAACACAAATACCTGCAGTTTAAACACCGATTTTAAAGCGTCACAAAATATTTATAAGAAAAAATTATCAATAAAATAGTGTCAGGGTCAAACCTTCAGCTAACTCTGGGTACGACCGTATGTTTTATTCATATTGTGCAAAACGAGGTGAACCGCCATTTTGCATGCATCGTCTTTCGTAAATAAATGCTACATTAATCAAATATATTCATTTTAAAGTATTTAAATTTAAGAGTTAGGCAGTTGTTTTTTAAAATTGAGTAAGAAATAAATAAGGCTAAAATATATACATAAAAATGTATATTTTTCTAAAGCACATAATAACATCATTTTGTCCGTGACAATCCAATAACAAATTACCACTAAAAAATTGCCACTTTGACTGTTTAACTTAATTTTAAATCGTGATCGTTTCATAATATTTTTATAGCATTTCTCTGTCTTTCTTTCTCCTTTTCTATTTTATAACTACAATAGATACTGAAATTTTCTCTTTATTTCTTATTTTAAACTGTGTAAAATAGATTAACTATCATCAGAGACAAAATATTAACTTTTCTGTTATGAAGTTATTTTCTATGAATTCCTGAAGTTATTTTCTAACCTTAATGTAATAATATCTGTTCTAGGTACAGATACGTGTCCCATGAAATCAGTCGTCAGACGCATCGGGCAACAACTATTCTCAGCACTCAGTACTAAAGGCCTCGCTATGCTTGTCAACCACGGGATAGCAGAAGAAAAGGTAACATTTCTAAGATGACATCTGAAATCATAGAATATCAACACGACTTTTTATAACAGAATAAAATATTAGTGTATAAATTTAAATAACGCATGTAGCGTTATTTAAATTTATACACAAAAAAAGACGAATATGTCCAGCACCTATTGATGGAATGTGATAGGAATTGAGCTGAGAGGGAAGTATTTATTAAAACTTTTGAAATTAACAAATTTGATGTGGGTATTGCTCAGAGCACACTACAAGCCTCTTTTTCTGAAATTGCACTTTGTTTGTGTGCTCCGATATAGACAATTAAAGAAATAGATCACTCTGTCGGTAATTATTCAATTTTAGTTTAGTATTTTTAAGATTTGTTATATTTAAGTTTGATATAATGGTGTTGACATGTATTGTAACAAAATCCCTATAATAAATTTAGATAAAAAACCAAAAACAGAATAGATATTTATGTATTCACAAAATAGTTATATAAAAGCAACCACACTACATATTACCACATACCTATAAGTCATAAGCTTTCATTTAATTATCCAGGAACAGTTTTACACTGAGCTGCAAATATTGAAATAGAGCAAGTAAAAAAACACGTATATAATCTAGACTTAATTTTATTTACAGTTAAAAGCAATGTATTCAGACTTGGATAACTTTTGCGCTTTACCGGAAGGATGTCAAGCACAGTATCTACGAAAACCGGACAGTAACCACGGCTACTTGCGACCCGGAATGGAACAGTTTGATACGACTAAAAAGGTAAATTTAGAAGTTTTATGAAAAAACGACAGACGTACTTAAATCCGGTTATTAGCACAGTTCCTAAAATGTAACATGCGACTGCTGATATAATGCCTAACAGAAACAGATGAAAGACGCCACTACTGTCATCATAACTAAAACGCTTTGCAATCGAAAGGATTGCAAATCGGTACTATATTAACGAAAACAACGTACAGCCAAAATATACTTCTATTTGGCTTATAGTGAAAATAATCTAATAAAAACAAATACCAAGTTAGTAATAATTCAACACACTCATTTTCATGACCAGTTTCCTTCGTTTATATGTAGATATATATTATATTATATCTAAAATAGGTTGTTGGCTCTCCGATAAATTTACTTAGGCCAATTGCCAAGGGTCACCAATTTATTATGACTTTAATAATAATATAAATTGATTTATTAAGACCTCAATACTTATAATAACTAAGTACCTAATGTTAGTAATATAGTGTTACTTGCTTGATGCGTACAGAATTGTCTTGAACAATCGTGACAAAGAAACAAGACTGCTGCTATAAGGCGGATAAACTTCAACAGTAATAAGTTCTTACACAAGGAGTTATTATTCGCATTTCGAAAGTTACTGTCAGTCGGCGACGTAGTATCTAACAGTAACAGATTCTTAAAACGCTCTACCTGAGTTTTGGTGCCTAAAATGTTATGAAACATTGTGTAGTTACAGACATTATAAAAATTAAACATATATATCAGTCAATAAGCTAAATTTAAAAGCAATCTTATAAAGCCACGACACGGGCTTTCTCACACAATGTATAAACGTCAAATATAAGTTGAAAAAAAACTTTACGATCAATTTATATAGCATTAATATAGTATTTTTGAAACTAGTGATGAGAGTGATGTCAATGAAGTGTTATATATATGTCAATACTTTACAGTTATTATGAAAATACATTTCGGTTTTCATATAGATTGAGGTACCTACGTGCCTACTTATGACGTCTATCAGCATCTATTTCTAGTAGTTAAGACGTATGAATTTTTAAAAATAAATATACTAAAAAGAATCGTCGAACATTTCAGGAACTCCGTCACTGCTACAGCATTACCACCCTGGCACCAGCAACGATGCCAGCTCAAGAGGAAGTACCGGAATTCACAAAGCATGCGTTCCCGCTTGCCCATGACCTCACCAATCTATCCAAAGTACTATTGCAAGCTCTTGCCTACGCTTTCGGTAAGTACAAGACCTTGTATAAGGCTATGTGTTTTACTCATTATGTACGAGTATATTATGAGTGTATTTCTATTCAACAGTCAACAAAGTTTCAAGGCAAAACGTATAAGTGCGCTTTTTAAAAGCCATGCCGGAAAAAATTTAAGATTTATACTGCATAAAAAATACTATTTAGGGTTTTGAAACCGACATACAAAATCAAAGCACGGCGAGGGATTTTTATGTACAAAAACTTCATAGAACGAAAACACTGTTCACGGGAATTTTTCCGAGTAATATAATATATAGCAATTATAGAAATAGAAATAGAACTAGAAAAAGATAGATGATGTAAACTTGACTCAAATTTACATTATTACGCTTACTCTTAAATTATTTATTAATACAATACTAGTATCAATTGATTGGACGTGAAATATCACATATTATCAATGTATTACTAACAAATGGTATATTCAGTTGGACCAAACAAAAATATAGTAATCCCCCAACCTCTCGATAGAAATTAAATAAAAATACCTATACATAATCACTGCTAAGAAAATTATCAATATTTTCTAAATGATATACGCCACTACACATCCTATGTTGTTGTAGCCCACTCATGTATAAACGAATATCTCTTTTGGAAAGTATACACTCTATCTTGAGGAGATAAAAACTAAGAATATCCTTCAACTCTTGTCTCTCATGAGTCTAGACAGCGAATTTTGAAAAAGAGCGAGCACATTAGATCTATGCAGGGCGCAGTGTCACAAATCTCAGAACCTGACAATAGCCCAAAACCCCCAATAAAAAACAATATATGTATAGATATATGAGCGGGATACGTAATTAATACGTAACTTACTAATCATATTAAGTAGGTATAATAATCTACATACGTTTCATAATTGCATCACCTTCGATTGTTTATGTCGATGTAACAATTATTATTTCAGAATTATATAACTATAGAATCATATTTCAATGTGTTGCATAATTTCTATTTTTATTAGCAAACATCTAATCATAATAATAATTTATGCATAATTCCATTCTTATCTATGTGTGTTCTTATGTTAAGTAGAAAATAGAAAGAGGTGTAGATGATACTATTTAAGCTATAATAATTTAAATTTATACAGAAAATTAATTCAATGCAGGATACTATTACTATATACTACCATTAATAGAGAATTTAACATTATCTACAGATGTAAAATGAAAAGTTGAAAACTTTGTATGAAATTCTGATTCAGCTTGATTCAAGGGATAAATATAGGAGTATATTTGCCTTTTTTAGTGTCTATTCCCTGCTGATGTTTATGTTCACTATTCCAAGGCTCGAAAGTGTATACTAACACACGATCGCTCTGATGATAAGAGATCACTAAGATATTGCGCATCTCACTTCTATTAAAATTATAGTCTCTGAACATTACCGTCTGTTATTACAGGTCTTACGCCAGCTACGCTTCTAGCGTGTCACGCTGGTATGTTGGAAGAGAACGATAGTAACCCTTCTGCTATGCGACTGTTGTACTACCCGCCAGTTCCCCCCGAGGATGTTGGCCCGTGCTGCCAAGGTGACGCGGTGTCGTACACGCGTTGCGGTGCTCACGCCGACTCTGGCACTTTTACACTGCTGGCCCAAGATTCTGAGGGCGGCCTAGAGGTAGGTGGCGATACTATACTATATATGTATAACTATACATATATATTATAAGGGAGATAATAGATATATTCAATACACAGGACAAATAAAAATATATTTCAAATAATTGACTATTCATATTTAATGAGCATATGGTATCAATGAATGAGCAATGACAAATAGAGCAAATAATAATAATACATTATAATAAAAATATCTGGAGATAAAATATATAATTTATTTAATAAAAATAACGAAAATAAAAATATTATTCTAAAATGCCTTCTTTATCTCTGGGGTAACGGAGAAGTCTCTGTAGGTTGAGACACCTCCACGCTGGAAGAAACCGTAGATCGGGATTAACTTCATTTTCTTAGAATTCTCCTATACTACAATAAGAGGAGTTACGTTTATAATATCTAATATAAGTAGAAAGTCGTAATACATATCCCATCAAAAACATAAATGTGAAATGATAGCCGAGTTTAATATTATGATATATGCCTTGATTGTTGACTTCTACGACAAAAGAGATGAGATCTAAATGGGTGCCAAGTTCAATGGTCTGTCCTGAAATGTATTTATAACAATATAAAATATTATTTCTTCTTATAACTTAGGATAATATACTGTAGCCTAAGGTCTAACTTGGCCAGTTCTCATATACCAATTATTACTTTCGATTGCTAGTTACTATTAATATTAAAATAGGAACCGACAAGTAACATGTTTAGAACTTGCGAAGGCTACAGTATATTTCGTATATGAAAACTAGCCAAGTTAGACCTTAGGCTACAGTATATTATCCTAAGTTATAAGAAGAAATGATATTTTATATTGTTATAAATACATTTCAAGACAGACCATTGAACTTGGCACCCATTTAGACCTCATCTCTTTTGTTGTAGAAGTCAACAATCAAGGCATATATCATAATATTAAACTCGGCTATCATTTCACATTTATGTTTTTGATGGGATATCATTACTTTTTGTACATAAATTATACGAGGTACTTATTTATAACTAAATTAATACCAAATTATTTTTGATAAATTACTGTATTTTCGTATATTTACGGGGTATAATTGTCTTTTTTTGTGTTATTTTCTATATTTTCTTGTAACTTTTAAATGTTCAAGTGCAATGCCAATTCAGTATCAGGAATTTTTGGGCAAATCGGGGCGGTATAACGTCCACAGATGGTTGTACTCTACAATAGAGCTCTCGTGACTTGGATCTAAATTGTTAAGACGTACTCCATCTAAGGTTTTAACTCTGGAGAGTCCAACGTAAACCTGCCCTTTATTAAATATAGAGGAGCCTATGTTGAGAAGAGGACTGCCAAAACTAAGGCCTTGTGATTTGTGGATAGTAATAGCATATGTTAAGCAAATACGGAATTGTTCTCTTTCAACATATACATTATTTAATATCTGAAACTTCGTATTGACACGTTATAGTTCGTAAAGACGATTATGTAACAAATTGACTGTTATCTATTGAATTCTCAAGAAAACAATTTGTTACCAATGAGTTCTCATTCTCGAGTTAACTATACATTCCTACTTATAACTATACTAAAATTGTTATTAATTTTTGGTTTAAACTATTGTCTATACCATACGTATTTACTAAAATAATGTAATAATAATATAATCACAAATATATAAGTATAATTTAAGAAAGCTATGAATTTAATAAATCGCAACCTTATAGGTTAGATATCGAGAAACAAAACATTGAGTTTTATCGCACCGCTCCCACACGGCGCCGCCGCGGCGCCCTATACCGAAATGCCTATTATTTAATAATTATTTATAAAAATAATGATTTTACACTATGGATGTGCGCTAAATATTGAAACAATAATTAATACCAAATCTCAGTTAATAACATAATAAATACGAAATTCGACTATACTCCTAGTTATAAGTACGAGTATATTTTAGACAGAATCTAAATTATAGCAACTAGTGTTTACCGCTCAATGCAATATTTGAAGTTTGCTAGTTATCGACACTGATGTGAAGGGGTCAACGTAAATTGGTAATGATCGACGTTTTCATACAATATTACTTTCCGTCCAGTACAAGATGAGATTTTTCGCCAGGGATCAATGTCAATTGGTGGCTATCGACGTTTTCATAGAATTTTAGTATTCGTCCAGTATAAGTTGAAATAGAATCAATTAAAGTGAAAAATTGTAGTAAAATGATAACAATTTACCAGTTTCAGATTTTTTCCTTTATATTCACCTAATTACCTATCTGCATGCCAAATTTGAACTTCCTAGGTCATCTGGAAGTGGGTTATAATTTTGATCTATAGTTGATCAGTGATAAAAATGACGATTTTTGGACATTAATATCTAAATAACCGTTTGACATATGTTTATGAAATTTGGAACACATATTTATCTCGCAAGTCTCAATATATGAACCAAATTTGACAGGTTTGTGTGAAAGAGTTTTTGAGTTATGAGGGGGTCAAAAGTGGCTCCAAATGGTTCGTGTAAATATACACACGGTGCTGCAGGCCAGTTTACTTGAAACTCGGCTTGACACGCTGCCGCGTGTCTAGATGCTTTTTAAATTTTTCACAATTGAATTTCTTATTACATCATAATACATGTAAGATATGCTAATCATTACTCTACAAATGATTTTCCAGTGTGTACTAACTCATATAATTTGCAGGTAAAATTGAACGGAAGTGATAAGTGGCAAGCCGTGGGACACCTGCCCGGGGCTATCCTGGTACAGACCGGCCAGCTGCTTGCAGCGTGGACCACTAATATTCTACCAGCACTAGTGAGTAATCACATTTAAAATATTAATCACCAATAATGGAAAGAAACCTTTGGAGTAAATTCGTTGTTGTCATAATATCACTGCACTCAAATCTGTATAGCATATATTCGCTTTGCAAACTATATTTTTGGTGAAGAGTGAGATGCAGTTATATTACAGGATGTGGACGCATAACATGTTAGTTAAGGGTTGCACGGACCTCATATGACGAAGTGATATCTGTGGTTCAAGTAACGGTTACTGCTTACCATTAGATGGGAAGCATTCCAATTAATTACAAATAAAAAAAACTTCATTATTTACAGTGTTCATATAAAACGTTATTCATTATTTAACTAGTACCTTTGGGCTCTAAAATTATTCTCAAGGGCAAAATTCTAACGTCTTTTATTTGATGATTTTTCATTTCATTTCATTTCTTTATTTTTGTTTTATATGATCAATGTTAAGGTAAAGTCCTTATATTCAGTTATAAACTGATCAATGATCTTGTTAATATATTTTTAAACTACTGAAATGTAATTAATGTGGAAAACAATGTATGTGTACATTAATCAGCAAAGTAAGTAATGTAATAACGTACCATTACAGATGCACCGGGTGGTCGTACCGTCAGGCACTTACGCGCGAGCCCGCGGCCGCCACTGCGTGGCCTTTTTCTGCCACCCCGACAAGGATGCTGCTCTGCCGACGCTGCCACTCCGCGCCGCCCCGATCCCCGAGCCCCCCACATTCACCCCCCACACCCACATCACCTTCCACCATCGGTTGCTCAACGCGGCTCACCACATTCAGAAACGTTTTCGGGAAACATATGCGTGACTAGCGCACGACAGCAAGGTGGAGAAAACGCCGTTGGCACGGCGACACACCGCGCCCTAATTCTGATATAAAGAATTATATAAAAAACAGCTAAATCCCGCGGTGCTGCCCGCGAGGAATAAGGAGATAAATTTACGTAGCTTTCTCTAAAGGAGCGAAATTTAAAAAAAGTCAGCGAAATGAGTTATGAGTTTATCCATTACATACAAAGAGACAAAAAATATCAAATTTCTCCTCTCTTTATTACACAAAATTTGTGTGATCAGATCTTGATCAACGTCTGTGAAGAAACGATCCCAGTTTAATGAAATAATTTATTTATATATATATATACCTAATAATATAATATTTCATTAAAATGGGACTCGTTTCCTAATTTAAAACCTAATATTAATTGTTAAATGATACGTAAAATCTGTATTAACTATTGAGTATATTGTATTGAATGGCTTGTCGCCTATTACAAGTGCAGTGTATGTAATCCCCATTACATGGAGAGATGATCTCATATGTTGCACGCAGTCGATAGATGAGAGGCTGGCTCACTGAGTAGTTTTATAAGTAGGAAAAACTTATATTCACCAATGGCTAAAATTATAATGACATATAAAGACAAATTTGTAATAATCATACGTTTAAGTATAAAAATTATTATAATTTAGTAGGTATATTAGACTTGGGCGTGGTGTTTTCTTCCACAGTGATGCATATATACAGTGTTATACAAATTGTAGTTGAAACGGTCAACATATGATATCAGGAACAATATCTGATGATGATACGGAAAAAAAACTGATTTTACACACGAGGTGATCTAACGCAGTCCTTACTACTGATCCAATATTGTTCCTGATTTTAAGGCCGTGTGTAGGATTGTGTTATATCCAATTGTTATGATTATGACCATCGTTAAATCATAATCAAGATAAATTAAACATATTTGTCATGAATAGAAATCAATCAACATAATAAAATTATATATTTAAGCAGAAAGCGAGTGATCGTCTGTATTTAAGGAAATATGAGTAACTTATATATGGTAATTTTACCTACAGTAGACTCGTACTTTATCATTCCCAAAAGAAATTGGCATTTTATTGTGTGTTGTATTTCATGTATTGTATGATATTAAAAAATGTATTATCTACTTATAAATACGTAGGTATATACGTATACGGTATATTCTTATATTGCTTTTTGTTGCGATTTTTCTGTTAATGTAATGTACTTACATTAAGCTTTTGCTTATCAGGAATATGTTGACTATGTACTTATTTTATTTTTTATTAAATTAATATTGTTATTTCTACACTTAATCTATCTAGCTTCCTTAAAATTGTCACGCCAAATTTTTACAATGTTTCGTTTTAATAGAAAATAATTTTCATAACATTACAACATTGATCAAATGATTATACATATTTATCATATGTAGAATGCTTTAAAACATTAAAAAAAGTTACTTATAAATGATTTAATTCTGACATTTGAGCTAGTCTAGCGTGTAATTCAAAGACGTACCTTGAATAGAGTATTCTTTGCATTTTTTTTTATATTGTGTATTTTTGCCATTATGCAACTAGAGTATTGTTATAAAGAAGTAAGTTAGCAATTAGCGGCGTGAGTTGTATTTATAATGTTCAAGCTTCATATGCATTTCGTACCTTGTGTTCTTGTGTTTCGTCTTATTAGTAAATATTTTTTTATTTTTAAAATATTTATTGCGGTATCCACGATTACTTATTACTACCACTAAGTAAACCGTGTGATAGCTTGATAGCTCAATTTAGTACCAGTACTTAAGTATACGATATTGTGTTCGAACATCGAAATTATAGCGTGTATTAGTTAATATTAATATACTTAATTATTATTAGATATGACAATGTCTAATGTCCTGAGTGATTTTTAAGTTTCCCAGTAATAAGTATTTGTTTGACTAATGGCAATTTGTGTTGCCAATTAGAGACAGAATAAAGCAATTAGTTGTTTTTTTAGAAACACCTTCAGCGATACTAAACTGAAAATATACGACTATTAAACTTAGAAGCTGACTCGATAGACATTAGTATTGCACCGAAATACTTAATCAATGACCATTTCTCTACGCACCCAAATGAATATTTTTTTATTGTATTTTTTTTATACTACTATAGTGGCAAGCAAGCATACGGCCCATCTGATGGTATAAATGGTTACCGCAGCCCATGGACGCCTAAACGGCTTATTATATTGATGTGACATATAATATCACCTCATTAGGACAAGGGCGTTTAAAAATTGTGCGATTGCAGAGATATTACTACCACTAATTGCCGCTATTTACCAACACCCTTAAATTATGAATAGCTAATATTATAAATTTAAGAAACTTGTCGATATTTCAGGTTGATTGCATTATTGTTTTTATATTCATTTTAGTTTAATTTTTTAAATATTTGGTTTTAATAATAAATTAGAATTTTGCATTTTGTTGACAAAGTAATTCTGAGAATGTTACCTCTGTTATAAATATGATATATTTATTGTATTCTGTTTTTAAATATGTATCTGCCTCAAGTATTACTTAGCTATGTGTATTAGATTAATTCAATATTTGGTATTTGTTCAATGTTTGAAACGGATTCTAAGAATTTAAATAAATTTCATTTTATAAGGAGAAACATGTTTTATTTTTAAATACATTGCCGACTCTATTTTTAAGCTTAAATTTTGTTTACAATATAGACACAGTAAAATTCTATCAACACCAATGCAACCAATCCAATGTATCTAAATCGTTCACGTAAATTATCATCACAGCTTAAAATATAAGCAAATGATGGTACATGAATATACCATTTGCCACTGCCGTATTGGAATGCTGTGTGATATAAACAGCGCCGATGAAAAAGTAGACCAGATATAATGAATATTAATGACAGCAATAGGACTCCCCAGCTCTCATACGTTGTCAGTCCTGACGACAACAATGCAAAGCCCCGTTACTCGTAATTTCAATGACGTATTATTATATCACCCTATATACCAAAAGTCACTACAAAGCTTATTGGAACTTTATTTGTTCATAAATCAGAAATGAGTGTGATACAGTCTCTATTGGTTATTTACGCAAAACTTAAATATCAGAGATATATCGAGCACTTATCTGACCCACAAATGTCCTTTATAATATTAATTGTTCCTGTCGTTTCAATCTCTAAGTGTGATTGTATACTTGTCATTATTTTATTAAGACCAGAATTGTAGACACAGCCTAGGACGAATATTAAATATTTATCGGTACACACTATATCAGTAACACCTTGCTAGTTTCATCTTCTGTTCTTAAAGAAAACAATCGCAAAATATGTGTTATCTCGTATGCTATAACATATTACACCTAATTATTTCCTCGCCATTTCACTACAATAATGGACGAAAAGCCTATTATAGGGTAGATAAAACTCATAGATGACAACAATATTTAAAATATAAGTTTATTTGTGGCCAACGTTATAATACCACTAGGCAATTTTAAGCATCTGTGACGTGGTTGAGTGTCTTAAGTAGTCATGCTCACTAAAATGTCCAGACATGTGACGGCGTCTTAGGCGGGTCATTGGGCTCCCTAAAATATGATAAAGCGCAGTGATGGCTGGCTCATCCGTCATACTCGTGATCGAGTGCTGCTTGTAGTACTCGATGGTACGCTTTAGTACTAATTAACTAAACTAGATGATTGCGTTTTAATATTTTAACTAATAAGTTACTGCTGTTTGGTAGAGCAACATGCAACTTTCGGAATGAGTGGTAGATTAAAAAAATAATTAATATGACTATTCAAAAGTGCTTAATTATTTTATAATGCACTTTTCTATTCAATTCTACGCCGATACGCACATGACGTACGCTCGTGAAAAGACGACGAGAATTCATGGATACTGTCTCTAAAATTACCGACATAGTATAATAATATGCTAACTTGCCCTATACAAGTATTCTTTATTCGTGAGGATAGTCACGATCATAACATGATATTTATATGTTGAGCCATTCTTGGACCTATTACCCTGTATTAAATAGCAATGATACAATATCTACGATTATAGTAGCTAGGTAATTATTACGTATTAATTGTTTTTACCTGAATTATTATATCTTATTATATGCTAAATATAACAACAGTTTTTTATTTTCTGCATAACAATAGAATACTTATTAATTAATAACATAAAAACTAACAAATGAGACTTGGAATTCATAAAAAGATTTACCTAGTAATTTTTGCTGACGTTATGATCTTAATTTGATAGAGTCGCTTTTATTGTGTGCATTTACGTTTTGTCCGATCGTGGCACCGATAGATATTATTACTCTACGAAAACTCTGTTGGGGGAAAGTCGAGTTTACGCACGTCACTCGGACACAGCGTATGACTATTTTAATTTCGCCGCGGCATAATCGCGGCGGCTATTTTCGAGTTTTTATTTTAGCGTAGTTCGCGTGTGGTCGAACTCGCTATGATATTTTGGCGGGAAAACTCACAGTCACCGATGGCCGTCGATGCAGTCGGTGCCGACTTGTTTACAATAAAAAAATATTTCTATTTCTACACCAATAAATAACCAGAAGTACATAATGGTGAGTCTGGATTGGATTTTAATTCTAACCTATTTATATGAACGTGTAATACTAAAAACATTCCATTCTGATTTAAGAGTTACCTACTCATGTAGCTATACCTATACTTTCATATGACTATACATTTTCACATTATTTTAGTATAAGGCCATTTATATAAAGTAAATATACCTTCATCATTACGAGCCCTGATATGTTAGAGGCATTGTCTACTGTCAAATGACATCTTGAACGTAGTACTGAACGGTCCCACATTTCGTTGCGTAAATTTGAATTCAACGTGGAGCTAACCTATCGTGAACTATGACAGAGAAATGTACACAACACTTTCAAGTGTACATAGGTATACTTATATACCATGTGGACACTTAATTTTATAAACAGGAGTCAAATAAAGTAGTGCCTCCCTTATGAATATGACGACCAAAAATATGTTTATGAAAATTGTATACGTTGACGCCCTTAAAAAAATAACTATTATAAATAATACTTCACGCATTAATACAATTGGAAGTCTACAGGTGAATGACGATGTTCTAGACCTGATGATATTGAGTCATACTTATTCTAAACACACACTTGTATTAATAAATGTAGTACATTTAGTGTAATGAGTATAAAAAATTAAGTGTTACTTTTTCTATGCTATACGTTTCATCAACTGCGTACGTGGACGATCAGATAGAAAGTTTGCCTACAACCAAAACAAGAGACAGACTTAAAATCCTATTTTAACATCAAGGAGGATAGCCGTAAAGATCGGAACACATATCTGAACAAACAACAACACATTTATTTTATTTGTATTTTGAATGTATTTTATGATTTTAAAGTATTTCATTATCTCAAAGATTAAAAAAAACGGGAAGATTAAGTTCTTTCAACTTTTTAACGATTGTACACCTATATTACATATTATATAAACAGAATATTTACTATTGTAATATTATTTAAGACTATGTGATACATCGACGCTGTTAAAAACGGTTCATACCCGTTTTTAGGTATAATAAATAGGTATATTTGTTCAGTTTAGAAGTTCAGTAAAATATTTCTGACATTATCGCATAGTACAAAAGAATTAGTGTTATTTTGTTTGCTTTCAAAATCAACTTCAGGTGGATAGTTTAATGTGAATAAATACCCATAAAGTTCATTAACTTAAAATCCTGTATAAACAAATGAAATTTACCCACGTGAAAAAAAGAGTCTTGTAAGAACGTTTGTTGAAAGAAATTGCATTTATATATATATGTACCTAGGGCTAAAACGTAATC